GTCCCTGCTATTCAAAAATAAAGAAAATAAAGTAATCGGAGGGGAGGGGGGGGGTGGGGAGTATGAAGCTAGTGTTCTTCCGTGGGGGGGGGGGTGTGTTGTATTTATTTGTTTTCTTACAAAAATAGCGTAATACATACGGAGTTCGATAGTCCCCACGCTCCTCTGGTTTTCGTGTAGCATGTTTAGAGTGTTACAACAGTTTTCTCTTTTGCGGTTTATCTCTTCTTTTTCTGCAGGTTCCGTTTGTCTTTGTCACGCAGCCCCGGCGTCCCAATCCAATCTATCCCAACGTTCATCTTCACGAGGCCCGGAAGCCCCCCCACCTCCATCAGCGCCCTCGGCGTTAGAGTGTACGCGGTTGGGAAGGGGGAGGGGAGGGCGGGGGGAGTTGGCATGCATACCTCCAGATGTAGTTGGTGGCGAATTTGTAGGTGAGGTCCATGTTTCCCCAGCCTTGGGCCACGATGACGAAGCGCATGATGCTCACGGCAAAGACGCTGCTACTTGTCAGCGTGGGGACAAAACATTCCACCGGTGGATAGGTATGCAGCGTACAACCCGCCCGTTCCGAGAACGGCCGCAACAGCAGCCCTCTGAGCGAAGCCAATTCGTAAAGGCCCAATGATCCAGGTGGGGAGAACCAGCAGGATGGCGTCGGTGACGCAGTTGAACCCGACGAGCCACCCATACCACGGATCCATTGAGAAACATTCGCCTTTGCCTCCCATCGTGGCGTAGTCCCATTGGTACCTGATGGGCCGGCAGCCGAAGAGGAACCCAAAGGCGCCGAGGAGGTAAGCGGCAATGACGAGAAACATCAAGATGTGTACGACGGTATTGAAGCCGCGAGACGTCGGGAAGCGAAGGTAGAAACGGAGAATCGACGTCTTGATGAAAAGAATCGCGAGATTCCCGGTGATGGCGATGGGGAGGATGTTGAGCTGGAAGCTGCGTTAGTCTGGCGGCTGCCGGGGGGACGGGCTGTTGGCGATGACGCCGCACCATCATGAACGAACGTAAGTCAGTCAGCCCCTGTGCGGCCAAATAGGCGCGGTGATAGCCCAAGCCATGGTTGGTTACTGTGAGTGGTTAGCGGAGCCCCGGCTGGCCTCATCTGCCGCGGTACATACGGAGGGCCACACTGATCGAGTACCCGATGGAAAAGGCCTGTTAATGATTAGTTACGCTGGATGGCTGGCCGTTGAACCGTCTCAAAACCATTGGCAGCCTTACCAGTGCCGCTAAAATAAGCCCTGGGCTCGTGTCAGCGGCGTTACCGTTCAGGAGGGACACAGCACTGCCTGCACCTACAGTCGTCTGTGTGGATTGTCCGGAGGATGTTTCGGGCAGTGAAGAATCGGAGGGTCACAAAAACAAGTGCAAATTGGGGTGCTAGGATACAGGTAAGGACAAGGCTGGGTGCCAGGGATTCGGAATTGTCGGCATCAACAACAACTCGGGTGTCATTGCTCATGGCGGTGGCTTCAGGGGCGTCGGAAGCCTCCTCGCACTCTGGGTCAGCGTCATACGCGCTGCGCACGAGGATGTCGACTTGGAGTCGGGTGATAACGGTGGGAAGCTGACTGGCGACTGAAGTTTGCGGGCAGCAGCACTTCAAATGGAGGGGCAAAAACAGCCATCTTCAGTCAATCTTCACCGATCGGTTGGCCAAGGGGCGATGAGATGGGGGGGCTGATTGTTTGTTACCCCAGACCGGTTGCAGATCCTGGTTAGCCATTTCTTAAGCAGGGCTGGAATCGCTCGATTGGTCGAGGTCGAGTTCGGGTGCATTCCCCGGTCGCAGGGACGAAAAATCGTTGGATTTTGATTGCAAAGTCTCATGTGTCACATGGAAACTGCCAAACAACAGACTGCACCGGGCAATGATGGTTGTGTGATTTAGGATCAAGAAACTGAAGGAGGCCGAGCCTGATCTCCTGAATGAATATCCACTGTGTGGTGCAAACGCGTTGACGTGCTTGGCGCACAGGCGGGCTGCACAACTTTTTCTAATGTCTTTGCAAAGAACACAATCAACATCATCTTCAGTATATATCCATCAATATCTCAGCGCGTATTATCCACATTCCCAATCGCGTAGTAGAATTAGATACTACAGGGTTAGGTCTATCAGAATATATAAATAGATAGCCTGCGCCTCTCGTGAGGCGATTAGTATAAGCCCTAATAGTTTCTCCTTTCTTGCGCCCCCTTTCCAGCACCGCAAAAAATTAAGAGTGGTGTGCCGCCTGCGCGCGAGCCAAGACGTCAAAGGCCTTGCACACCACACAGCGCTTGCAATGGCTAAGCTGTGTTAGCATCCCTTTGGTCTTTTAACCACATCAGTAACTCATGCCTTTACACTTCAAATACGTCCGTAAATACCTCGGTCTTGCACAAGGTTCCTTCTTTTTTTTTTTTTTTTTTTTTTTTTTTCGTAGGTTCTTTTTCCTACGGTTTCTTAAACCCCTCCCCGTCTCGCTCCCAGCTGGGTCTCAATGTCGGCTCTCGCACAGTGGCCGAGTAACCGTAAGCACTGTGAGCGCCGTCTTCTTTCGGACTTGAGACTGTCACGGTGTCACACATGAAGCATATGAAGGCAGTCCGGGCGACGATCAAATACGCAATGGCAACAGGAAGGCTGGAGCTGAATGAGGAGGAGAGTCTAGACCAGTCACAGTAGAAGAAGCCGACACTCAACACCACGAGCCTCAACCACGAGCCTTAACCAGCAGGTCCCGCTTTAGCTGCTGAAGATAGGACGCTGAACACTTGGAGAAAGTAGCCTCCAAGCTGATCTGCTAACAACAACCAAGGCAAGAGGTAAATGGTGCAGCGAGAAAGAGGGAAGAAGTAGGGGGCTTGTACGAGTTCAAGGTAAACCGATTTGATCCGGATGTAGTTAGCGTGCTAAGGCCCTAGAGGCCCGGTGCCTCCGGGCGAAATAAATTCCATCCATCCATCCAAAATCTGCCCCCCCCCCCTCATTTCCAGATAGAAGAACATGATCCAACTGAACCACCAATGTAGCACGTCCCTCCAGAGAGAAGGGATTTGCCCTGTGCTTTTAACGCTATCGTGATACCTGGTATTCCCTACAGGAAGGCACGGTGGCAGCTTGACGGCACTTCGTTTTCGGCGGACGGCGGCTAGAGACACGGCTTGGAAAACATGTCGTATTTAGACAAAGATTGGGGGTCCCGTCATGTGCCGCTGGGATCTGATGGATACTAGGATAGGATAATCAAGATTGAGACATGACGCCGTGGCAGCACGAGGGCCGTAAGCTTGAAAGTTGGCTCGGTATACCATGGAAACCATAAAAAGGCGTTGCGGGTGATAAATAAGCGTGACTCTGATCATTATCTCGCCCAGTGAAGTAATGTCGGTCAAGTCGCCAGTCCCAGTAGAAGAGCCCAGCCATGCGAAAACACCCAATCCTATGATGTGGCTCATACCTAATTTGCTTCACCCCTCAAACACCCACATCATTCGACTCACGGCTAGAAGATGGTGTTTCCACCCGGCAGCTCTTTCAGCCCTACAACAAAACTTTGAGTCAGCAAAGCCCTCTCAACACCCCCCGCCCCCCTCTCCCCCCCAAAGTCCCTGGCCGATTTACAAAACCAGTACTTACATCCATCAAAGTCTTCGTGGACCATATCCTTCGCGACGCACTTATTTTGCTGGGCAATACTCTGGGTCTTGAGCATGGGCGCCGAGACGTAGGTGTGGGCGTCCATGGCGCGCTGGAGCGAGTCGTCCTGCCAGCCAAAGACGTAGTCGGCGTGGGACGAGAAGCCCGTCGAGTCGCCGTTGGACCACACGAACGGCTGGCTGCCGTCGGCCGGCCAGTCCTCGGCCCGGTTGAACGCCGACGTGTCCCACACCGTCTCCAGCAGGATCTGCGGCAGCCGCACCGGGTGCGACGCCGGGCACGGCCCGCCCGACTCGAACGTCCCCGTCTCCGGGTACGCCACGTGGTCCTGGTGGTTAGGCGTGTCCAGGTTGACGCCGTCCCAGCAGGTCGGGAACCGGTGGTTGGCCATGATGCCGAGTTTACAGGGGGTCTTCGGGAACCCGATGCTCTCGGGCTGGCGGGACGCTTGGTTCTCCATGCAGGTGTAGGTGAGCTGCCGGAAGTCGCGCGCCTGGTCGCGGGTCTTGTACGAGGCGTCGCCGACCAACATGCGGAACCCGGGCTTGAATGCTGTGACGCTGGAGCGCTGGGCCGTGTCGAACAGGGCGTCAGACATGTAATACACAACCTGGGCTGGTATTAGTGGGTGCCATGCCGTCTGTTTGCTCGGGGGTTAACCTGCCATGCCACCTTGTGTGCCCTCCATGCCGGCTTGGGCAATCTGGGGCACACGCTTAAACGTGCCGTTCCTGGCGCGGAAGTACAGGACGGCCGTCCAGTAGTTGGAGAAGTCCTCGGTGAACTGGCAGCTGGTGCATTTCGATTGTTTCACCAGGTCATGGCTGGGATGGTCCATGGACACGTTGAACGAATCCTACCCATGCCGTTAGTTCTGATGTTCAATTGAAATGGTGCATAACCCACCCCTCCAATGATCTGGTGAAGATGCGGTGATGGGTTCTGTCCTGGTGTGACTAGGGGGTCCAGGCGCTGGATTGTTAGACGGGCGCAACCAAAGCGAAGTAATGCCGACGCAGGGGCAGCCAGCCCGAGGGCGGCTGTAATGCTGTTCCACTTCATGCTCAATTGCCAGGTGGTGATGCAGACGATTCTTGGAGGTTAGTATGGGGCAGTGACTGGAGGAAGTCTCGAAATCAGGAACACCTGCAACGGAGGAACACAACCAACCGACTTATGTCTAGGGTCCAGATTCTTCCAGAAGGATAGAAGTATGAGCTGGCAAGTGCCGATTCCGGTATGCACCAGCCAGATCAAAGGGGCTGCGCAGGATAGCAAGATAGCAACCGTTCCGGCAACCGAGCCGCTTCCAAGTTAATCTAGATTTATAACCGGGATTACCTCTCCACCAATGGATTGGCGTGTGGAAAGCCAATTCCCAAGACATGGATAGTGGGTGAGAAGAACAGGTGGTAACGATGTGTCTGACGGCAGATGGGGGAGGGTTAATCTTGGAGTGAGCTGGCCAGTCATATTGAGACTAACGTCGTGGCTGAACGACCTGGTGATCTCTGACTCGGTAAACGGAGTGAGCTGCTCTACCGGCAGAAGCTGATCACGAATGAACGTCGCACTCAACTCTATTTTCATGCTTTTAATCAGCGGCAAAGAGCCGATTGAGCCGGCTGTCCCCGCCTAATCTAGTTCCAAGACCATGGTGTGGGACGCCATCAACACGTGGAATCGGTATATGTGCAATGCTATCGGCGTGCTCCTTGTTGATATACAGTCGCTCGGTATTCCGCGGGTAGATGATACAACAAGTTCCTCACATAATTATTCCTCATCCACGCCAAGTCCAACTGCACATGATGAAAGTGACGGCCGCTTTTGGGCTCATCGCCTTGTTTCATGGGACGGCTCTGGGCCAAAATTATCCAGAATGCACTCGAGAGTTGCTCCGAACGGACGACTGCGCCGCTGTTGCCAACCCCAATGCGTGCTACAACCAATTCCGCTGGAGTGCACGTACGCTTAGTTGCATCGATGGGGAGAACGATACTCAGCGAAAACAAAGGGTAGGTCACTCTTGTCGGCGGCCATTCTGAAAGCACTGACGTTACTATTGAAATATGATACTAACGTGAGCAGGCGTGCAAGTGCTGTAGCTGTGTTGGCACCGTCATGTGTAACTGGGTGACGCAGAACCGGTATTGCTCGTGACAGGTTTGGGCTGGGTGAGTCGATTCAGGGAAGGCGCCCAACAGATATCAGGATTGGGAAAACAGTTACAACAAATACCACGTAGCATAATGGAACATGCCCTCGGCGGAATAGCTTTCCAAGGTCAACACAGATATCAATTTCTAGCTACCCTTCCCCTGAGTCCTTGCACGGCAGCCCTTGAGGATCACCCGTAATGGCATTTGCAAACGCACTCAGGCTGGTCGAGGGCAAACATCCTGCACTGTATCCGCCATCAGCATCACTCTTTCTCTCCAAAGGCAGCGGGTTTGGAAAGTCATACGTAGGAATCGGCACAGTTGAGGGAGCTGCAGCCGCCGGCTAGCTCGCAGCAAGCATTGGCGCATTTCGGTTCTGTCGTATCGTTGTGTGAGCATAGCATTATAGAAATTTGGAAGTAAAGAGTAGATAGGATGGGATAGGGGTAAACGTACTCGGGAGTTCGACGGCGCAGCTGGCCCTCTTCCAGGTATCTCGTCTCTGCAACAACATTTTAGCGGGGAATTACAATGGCCAACTGTGACTACTATGCAAAGACGTACAACAACAAAATTCATCTCGTTGCTCTGCGGCTCCGTCGGCATGGCGGTGACGGTAGCCGCCAGCAAGACGAGAGCGGTAAGGAGTTGCATGGTGGTGACAGAGTTGTGTGGAAATGTGAAGGTGATTCTGTCTTCTTACCCTCTGCACAATGAAAAGAAATGAAGCAGGTTGTCACCATGGGTTTATATCGCAGGTTATGTCCAAGAGTTTATACTCCCCAGCCTGTCCAACCCAACTAATTAAACCGGGGTGTTACATCGGGTGAGGAAGTTGACGATCAACTATGTCAGACGGGCGGTTTCCCGCTCCGCCGGGACACATCCACCACCTGCCTTTTGGGTAAAAGATCCTGTCATTCAGAACCTTTAAAGCTTCATGCAGCCCGCATCCCTCTTGTCATCCACCCAATTGGTTGTTGTGACTCTTGAGCTCAAGCGACACTTGCCAATAAACTAGTGCCAAGGCACGGGGGAATGCCTCGATGGTGTTGGTCAATACAATTCGTGTGCTTGCTTACGTCTGGATGGTTTGGTTCCGCGTTGGTTAACTCGCGGTGAGACCAAATGGAGGGTCAATTAATTTCATGAATGGCTACCTCTGTGGCCAGTCCCAGGTTTTGATGTGGTAAGGATGGAGAAAACTCAACGGGACTCGTCAGCTACTCGGTCTAAGACCCGAATCCGTGGACGGAATCAGGCCGCTTTTATATTCACGAACAGGTTTGGGAATGGAGGTTTTGGGCTTGTTTTCCCACCTTGCCCGGTGTTATCGTGTCAAAACCATGGAATCGAGGGGGTCACTGTCAAGATCACCATATTTATTCTAGATTCACCAGCTCACTCTTACAATTCTCCCCCGTTCCCTCCTATTGATCCCTATTTACCCCCCCATCCCACTCTCCTTTGGAACACCCCACCCCTTGAGAACACCACCCTGCTGAGTCGAAATCTACGCGGCCCCTCAACCAGCCTGATACACCGCCAACGCCGCCACATGGGGGTTAATCATGCTAACATTATATGGCGTCACGAACAGATCCGTATCCGTTAGCGCAATAAACATGGTCCCATTCACGGCCGGATCCCCCTTCCACGTCGACACATTCGGCTGGATGGTATACGCCGTCTGGTCCTCCACACTCACGTTCAGCAGCGGCGTGTACGTGACATTGAGCTGGGACAGCCAGGCCGCAAAGCGCGGCTCGGCCACGTTGGTCGTCGTCACGTAGCTGTTGTTGGGCCCCACCAGCTGGCCCGGCGCGTCCCACCGGAAAAACACCTCGCGGCCGGGGTAGGAGAGCGGGATGGAGCGGTTGTTGGAGACGGCGGCGCGGCAGTCGAGTGTCTTGTCGGTGGCGTTGACGCAGAGCTCGTCGGGCGGGATGCCGGCCGTGGACAGTGTGTTGGCCCAGCCGCCCGTGGTTTCGTTCCATACGTCGGCGCCGTTGATGCGCGCCGGGTTGGGCTGGTTGAGGATGTGCAGGGCGGGGAAGTTTTGCCACACGAGGCGCGTCTGGTTGTACGGGCAGGAGGAGATGTACGGCGCGAGAAGGGTCCACGCCCAGCTCTGAGGGATGCCAGGGGTGTGCCACTCTGGCATGGGGAACTGGCCGCCGAATTGGCGGAAGATGAGCTGCTGGCGTGCTTCGACCGTGATGCTTTGTAGTAGCATCGAGGCGGCCGGGCCCGAGTTGAGGTGTGGGAGGAAGCCGTACACGCCGGCTTCGGCCCAACGAGTGAGCTTCTGGTTGAAGTCTATGTACTCCCGCACGTTGGAGACCGGGTAGTTGTACGTGCACTGCTTGGGTGCGTTGGGGCCAAGCATATTGGCTATGACAGAGGCGTGGCCGATCTCTTGGTCGGCCATGTGCTGTAGCAGGTGGCGATCTTCTGCGTTGATACCGTACGCGTCAAACTCCTCGTCCGAGAAGGTCGCAAGTCCCCAATGGAACGCGTCGAGTTCAATCCACTCATGGTAAAGTGCGAGAGCGAGGGACTGATAGTCGAAATCGCTGGCTACTTTGTAAACGGGCTCCGAGCCGTTGGTACCAATCCCACCGCTAGGGGTGTAGGGCATCGGCTGGTCGCCGTGGAGTTCTCCGTCTGCCTCATAAGCGACAATCCCGGGCGGGGGTGGTGCCGGGGCGATGGAAGGGCCCAAGACAACGGTGGAAAGAGCGCCAGTTGTGGTGGCAGGCGGACCGTCATAAGGGCCGTGAAACGTCACATTGGAGTGAGAAATGGCGTATGGAGACGGCAAGTTGGTAGGCTCCGAGAACACAGTTGTTGTAGGCTCGGAAACAATGGGGACAGCCCGGACGTTGCCAATGACAGCTAGCACGGCAGCAAACCGCGGAACCGAGACAGGGGCCATCTCTGGGAGGTGAGCGAGCGCTTGCCGACACTTATAAATCGTCCAGAAGCAGGACCTGGCGCGTTAAACTGACGCTCTTTCTTGTAAAAGGAAACCTGCAGCTCCCCCTTTCCGATTTTTCTCTCGACGGATGAATCCCTTTTTACCCCTCAAAAATGACATCGTTCCTGTTCTAGCTCCCATAGTCATGATGTCACCATCGGGCCAAGCCCGTCATGATTAAGCCTATGGCAACGCAGCGTGCAATGACGTTGTTCCAGACGGCCCATATCATACATAACTCCAACTCCAGTCTCCACCAGGTACCTATCCAGACGTAATGACTTAAGGGGTCCATCCATAGTGCGGAGAAACAGTGGCCTTGTTTCTTTTCCAAATTCCTTAGATAGGTAGGTAGCATTATCAACCCAAAGTTTACGGTGTCCGGTCTTCAGTATGAGCCAGGATGACGACATGTAATTCTCTGTGACGCTGGTGATGTCGATGACCTCATCTCGGCTAACGAGCTGGACTCTGCACACATATGTGTACACAATACTGGTTTATCTGGGCGGGCTGAACCCACTAGCCCGTTCTAAACCTACGGAATAATGGGCTGGGAATGGAGCCATCACACAACATGTATAAGGAAAGTGCTTTTCCAGACCAAGCTTCCATGTGTGTGCAAGCCCGGAACCCTACATGTAGGTACCCAGGTTATAGGTAGGGACTAAGGCATGACTGCTGACATTGGCCCTTGTCCATTTGTTGTACATTGGGCTCAACGCAGTCGGTGTGTTTCGAGAACCCATACGAGACGTCAAGAGCTGAACATGCCCAAGTATAAGTACCGAAGTATATGTTTGGTGGTAGCGAATCTGAACTTACCATCGTATCGACAATGGCAATAAAAGACAATTCTAAAAAGATCAGATCAGCATGGCTTAGAGGCACATCGTTTCTCTAAGCGATATCCTCGAGCACGGAAGCCGTTTCCACCCCTTACACGAGGACCATCGTCGCGACCTAGCCATGGCCATATTCTCCAGGGTCCTACAGCTCTACGGCACCCCCTGGCTCCCGCACACTCTCAGTAGCCGCGATATCTTCTTTTCCTAGATCAATGCCCCCCCTCGCCGGATACAACATATGGAGACCCGGTGCTTATAATTTAATACCGCTAAAGCGGACCTAGGTGAAGACCTCAGGGGTCTCTTACCGGGATATAACCTAACGCTGCTATCGCTGGGATGCCTGCTGCTCGAGGTACTCTTGTGGAGGTCGCTCAATCCCGGCCGTACTTCCCCCACTAGTCGCCGCAGTGACCTGATGGCGGACTATAAGGTGGCGATTACCCTAATAAACCAGCTACCTCTGCAGGACAGCTTCGCAGTGTGTTTATGTTTAGGTGGGGAGCTACATAAATGGCGTTGTGGGTTGGACCATGAGTGTTTTTGTCGGGAAGTGTAAGGTATTCGAAGGTTGCGGTACCGCTATGTGCAGCCGTCAGACAGCATAGAAGTACGCCTCTCTAGTCCTTTTTTCCCTTGAACTGAAAAATAACTGCTTCTACCTTCCCGAGCGCCTACAAATTACAAGATTGTGAACCGAAAAGGAGGGTTCGTCGCCGTGGGGAGTTATGCTTTAGCTTGTAGATACCCGACCTCCAACCGCAGGCCTCTCCTTCCTTCGGTAAGAAAGAGCAATCCTCTCCGGCCCAGCGTAGCACACCCGCGGCGCTTGTCGCCTGGAGAAGAACGTCGTCGTCGCCGACATACTGCTCTGAAAGGGATGTGGTCGCGCGGTCTTTCAAGAGGTCGAGGGTGTAATCGGACCCAGACTCTAACATGTCACGCAGATTCCACTCTGGCATTACGGTCTGCCCGCCGAATTTTAATTTCTCGAGATCCAACGTGTGGAAAGACGGAGTAGTAAGGCAGTTAGTTGGTGAGCTGTGCTGTGTCAAACGACCGCCAGAAAGTCTCCCATCTCCACTTTGTGTTTCCGATATCTTCTCGAAAGGTCGCTATGGAGTCCTTGATTACATGTTCTAACGCGTCTTTTCCATCACGATGCTCTGGGGATGCGAGTTTTGATCGCTGAATTTGTTCCTCTATGTTGGTATTTTAGGGCGATGGATGGCAATAACAGCAAGTGATGATGTTGATAGTTGAGGGCTATTCAGTTTTGTACGTGCTAGAGGGCACCAGAAGCTTCAGAAGAAAATGTAATCGGTTAGTATTAATGTATTTGATTCCATGTTCGTTACAGTTTTACGTCCCTAATACAGGATCAGTCTAGAAAAATCCAGAGCCAGTCAGTATCATCAAAGTAACAGCACGGGCCGCACCGCTGTTATCATTAACACTCAAGATCTAGAGTTTCCCAAGCGTAAGCAGTCAAAGTGCCGTGACACACTCATCTCCCAACTAAGGGGGGTGTTACAAAGGCAGGTCAATGGGTG